AGACTATTGTCATGGATTTTTAAATTATTCCCTTTGTTAGTTTCCATTGCTATAGCAACAAATCATCATAACTACAGAGGGTTAAAATGACATTTGTTCTCTTCAGTTCTTGGGGCCAAAAGTCCAAACTAATAGAGGGTTAAGGTCAAGGCCAAGGATAGTTTCTTTTGGAGGCACTAGAGAAGAAGACACTCCTCCCCTGCTCTCTTTCATGTGTTCCTTTTTGTTGTTGTGCTGGTAATTGAACTCAGGGTCTTTGGAATGCCAGGCAAGGGTTCTACTGCTAACCAAGAACTTACTCCAGAAGAATATATCTATTTTTTTTAAATAGTGAGATTTATTTGTCATTTTATTTATGTATATGTGTTTGCTTGCATGTGCTCATCTGCACCACATGTATACTTTTTAAAGTCAGAGGTTATGGGCTCTCCTGTACTGGAGAGAGGTGGTTGTATGCCACCTGATGTGGCCTTGGTATCTAAACACAGATCCTCTGAAATAGCAATAAACTAACTTCTTTCTTTTCTTTTCCTTTCCTTTCATTCCTTATTTCTTTTCTATTATTATTATTATTATTATTATTATTATTATTATTATTATTGAGACAGGGTTTCCCTGTGTAGCCCTGGCTGCCCTGGAACTCACTAAATAGACCAGGCTGGCCTTGAACTCAGAGATATGCCTGCCTCTGCCTCAAGTGCTGGGATTAAAGCTATGTACCCAGTTTTCCCCCACCCCCACCCCCCACCCCAGCACAGGGAACAGTAAGCATTCTTAATTACTGAGTCACCTCTTTGCCCCTAGAACATATTCTTTAATCTTCAGTTTTCAGTTTGTAGTGGCTGCTAGCATTCAGTGTCTTGTGACTACATTCTTTCAGTGGTCATTTACTTTCTTTTTTTGTATAGTCATGTGCTCTTTAATGACGGAGATGCATTATAAGAAATTTGTCATTGTAAAAACATTATAGACTGTACTTCACAACCATAAATAGTATGGGCCAATTACTCACTCTCACCTCCTGATGCAGTCAACAGACAGTGTAAATGTAAACGGTATGCATCTGCTAGAAGCATGACCTGGCATACTTCAACAGTAAACTTTAATTTTATAAGTAGAGAAATACAACTTAAAAATATAAAATAGAAAAGTTTATACATTAACCAGTAACAGTAACTTGGTATTTTAATCAGGTCATACAATTGTACGTATTGTCCTTTTAGACAACAATGTTTGTTTAACTCAGCATCAATATAGACAGATGAATGATGCATTGTGTTATGAGGTTACAATGGCTCTGATGTCACTAGACAATCTGAATTCTACACATCCATTATTTTATAGCAATACTATCATCTATGAGGTTCATTGTTGGAAAATGTTATTATTCACTGATTGACTAGTTGGATCTGACTCCCTTCCGTCATCACAAATGAAAAAAAATGATAAACTATAAAAGTGCTTTATATGAAAATAAAGGAGCACTTAAGGCAGAGATAGAAAAACTGAGGGTAGTGGTCAGGTGGGAAGCAAGGAAGGTTTGATGAAGAATGATATCATTTGGGCGGTTTTTGTTGTTGTTTTCTTGTTTGTAGTCAGTCTCAGTAGGCAACCCAGGATGGTATAAAAGTCTTGTCTCAGTCTTCTGAGTGTGGAGATTACAGGTATATACCACCACAAAAATTATGCTAACATGGTATATAAAGGATGAGAATAAGTCAGTTTCACAAATCATGTTTCAGATATAGTGTCAATATTTTAAAAAGGTCATGTGGTGAGAACAAATGTTATGAGCAGTTTTCCCGCCAGCCTGGTCTCAGAGACAAGGTATGTTCAGACAAATGAAAAGTTATAAATGTCTGTATAGCTAGAACCACAGATTGGGGTGGGGGTAGGGACAGAGAATGGTATAAGCCTGGATTGGTAAGTGATACTTACTCCATTCTTGATGATTGTAGTAGTTAACTTAGGGTGGCCAAAATAAAGTACCACAGAATAGGACCCAAGTAACAGGAAGTTAAAATTTTCACTGTTCTGGAGCCTGAGAGCCTGAGATTAGTGTGCAAGCATGGCAGGGTTCTGTTGATGGTCCTCTTCTGGGTTTGGCAATAAAAATCCTTCCTGTGCTTTAATATGGCAGAGAGAGTATAGGAAAGTGAGGGAAGCCAAGATCTCACTCCTATGAAAAGCAATGTCCTAAACAATATTATCTCCAGATACAACCACATTGCATGGAAAGACTTCAAAACAGAAATATTGATGTAGGTGGGACACAATTTAGTTCTTAGCAAAAGCTGACAAAAGTTATTTAATTTACACCAATAAGATGACACTATCACATTTGAAAAGATAATCTGAGACTCAGTATAGAGCACTGGGCAAAAGGTCACACATGAGCATGAAGGCCAGTGAGGAAGTGTTTTAAGTAGTTACATTAAATGCAGACAGCATTTCTGCTGGAAACAAGAATCCTGCACTAATTCAAGAGGTAAAATTGAGTAGATAGAACTTTTTATTTGATATAAACATGACGATATAAGAAGCATCTGGCATGGTGCTTAGTTCTTTACAGTGCTTAACTGAGTGAGTGATGTGGCTATTTAGACAGGGAAAACTAAAAAAGAGATTAAACCTGGGGGAAGTACCATATGTTCCATTGATATCTGGATCATTTTCAGGAATGTTTGAAAGATTATTGGATCCTTTTGAATAATAAATTTTTATAAACACTAAACATAAATATTTAAATACTGCCTAAATACCAGTGTCACATCACAATAAAAGTCCTAGTTCTTTGAGCTCACATGAGGAAACAGTCAGCCCCCAACCTGAAGGTAAGCTTCCTGGTATGAGGTGCTTTCCAGCAGACACCTAACATTTAGCACTTTTAAATAATTCAACTTTCCCCCAACAAAATATGATCTTAATTGTTGAACTAACTTTCAATGACATAATGAAATACCCAAGACAGCTACTTAGGAGGTAAAGGTACCCTTCTTTGCCTTATGGTTCTGGAGGTTCAAGTCCAATTCTGAGTGCCTGCACTGGTTTGAGTCTCTTTTGACAATGCCATATCATGTATGGAGTGTTTGGTGGAACAACCTACTTCCATCTTAGATTAAAAAGCAAAGAGAGACAAAGAAACAGACATCTCATAGTTCCTTTTCACAGCATGTCCCAATATTACCAACTTGGAGTAGTGCCACATTCGGGAAGAAAGCTTTAATATACTCCATGTTCAAACCACATCGCTTTGATAATGGTAACATTACTTTGACTATCCATGAGAATATCATTATCTTTTATTCCTCCTTTCCTCTCTCCCAAGGTTTATCCCATTGCCAATTTTCTCTTGATTCTACACGAATCAAAGCCCTTATAACTTCATTTCAAATGTTACTTCTTTCTTGCAGCTTTTCTGTTTCTCCCAACAGAACAATGTTTTATGGATTTGATAATATTTAAAGAAAAATTCCAAAGAAAATATCAAAATAAATATTACTATTTTAAGATGAATTCATTTTTAAATCATTACTCAAAACATTCTATTCTTTTCATTTCTTAGTGTAGCCTCTCTTTCCCTTTCTTTGTCATCATTATTATTTTTAATGCATTCTAGTCCTCTTTGGATGAGTTGCATTTGTTTCACTTTACCTGCCTAAGGCACCTGACTGGTTTAATACAAAGCTGAGTGGTCAATAGCAAGGCGGGGCAGGAATAGGCGGGGCTGGAGGCTAGAGGGAATAAGTAGGAGAAATGTAGAGGAGAGAAGAAGAGAATGAGGGAGAAAGAAAGGGACATGCCCACGGCCAAAAGCCAGGCAGCTGCCAGCCAGCCAGCCAGTCAGGAAAGGTAGACACAGTAGGACATACAGCAGGAAAGAAGGGTGAACAGTCCAAGGCAAAACAGATTAAAATAAGAGCTAGGTCCAATCATTCGTAACTAATAACAACTTTCCGTGTCATGATTTGGGATCTGGTTGGTGGTCTAAAAGAATGCCTGTTACACAAACCTGAGATACAAAAAGACTCAATCTCATAAAAAAATCATTTTCCATATAGTTATTTGCCAACATATGTAACCATAAGTAATATAAACCCCAAACTGAATAAATGTGACTTTCCCAAATCCACTAAGCTAGCTTTGTGGAGACAGACAATAAATTTGAGGGAAGGGGGTGCAAATTTTCCTGCAACTGAATTTTCTGAATCATGACACAACTACCTAGGATCAAGCCAGAACTTTGGATCAGAAGTGATTTTGAAGTTAACAAAGAGTAAAAGACAACCAGGCATTGGGTAATACTCATTGGAGTTTGCTTTTATGTAGGACTTGGTCCCAATACATTTTGGTTGCCAATTCTTAAAACTCTTGGGTTGGCCCAGTGTACTTTAAGGCTTGCCGAACTTGACAGAATTCCAAGGAAACCTCTAACCCGAGCTTGAATAGCGGATTGCACAAGGTCTGGAATCATTTCTTTTGGTTCTATTTGCCCACAAAGAAGAACGCGTCAGTAAATCAGGGAAAACCTTTCCAGACCAGGCGGTTACAACTCCGAGGACTGGCACGACCTGTTCATCCTGCGGTCCCCCAGACAGCCATCTCTCACAGCTGGCCCGGGTCACCTGGCGCACCTGCCAACAGGCCACGCCCTCAGGCTGTGCCCCTCCCTCTCCCTGCAGGCGGCTGCTGCACGCCCCGCCCCGGTCGCGAAGTGTGTGTGTGGGGGCTCCCCCAGCTCAGGCTCTGTCCCCGCCCCCTCCAGCTCCCTAACGTCCTCGGCGTCGAGCCCAAGCCTGCGCCTGCGCCTGCGCCCTGAGGCTGAAGTCGGGGCGCGCCTTGGCTAGGACGCGGAGAGCGGCGGGCGGAGCAGCCAATGGGCGGCGGCGCTCGCTAGCGGCCGGGAGGCGGGGCCTGCGCGGGTGTTAGGTTAGCGCGAGGCGTGACCTAGTTGACAGGCTCTGAGGTGCTGCTGTGGCGGCGGCCGCGGGGCAGAGCGGGCGGGCTGAGGGAGGAGGGCGGCGACGGGCGAGCGGCGAGCGGCGCGGGACACAGAGCCTTTGCACTTTTCCCACCCGAGTGTCCCCTCCATCCCCCTCCCCACTCCACACACCCTGTTTGCCCGTGAGCCTGGGGAACTTGCAGCTTAAAGCCAGCCACCCCCACGGCAGCATGTACCCCAGCAACAAGAAGAAAAAGGTGTGGAGAGAGGAGAAAGGTAACCGGCCCCGGGTGCGGGCGGGCGGCAGGCGGGTGGGTGGGGGCGGGGGCCCGGCGGCGCGGCGCGGCGCCCTCCGCCCGCAGCCTCCTCGCGCCCTCTCGGCCGGTGCCGCTCCCGCCCGCGGCCGCGTCCACGCGCGCGCGTGCACACACACGCGCGCACACACACACGCACACACACACACACACACGCACACACACGCACGCCCCGGCCACTCGCCGCCCCCGGGCACCTGCGGCTGGCGCACGAGCGGGCGCACACCCCCCTGGGCGTGGAGTGCCCTCCTCCCTGGCGTGTCCGCCTTCTGGCTGCGGTGCATCCCCGGGCTGGGTGCAAGTCGGTGGGGACTCCAAGCTGGGAGTTTGCACCGCCCGCCGGGTGTCCCGTGGACAGGTGCCAGCCGGCTGTGCTCTGGCGGCTGCTGCTGAGCCTAGGTGCACTTGCACCAGCTTTCCTCCGTTCCCCACCACCGTCGTCCCTCCATCCCAAAGTGGCTCGGGGTCCCCGCTGCGCTCAGCTGCTGGGTGACTTCTGAAATTTGGAACCTAAAAGGAGCATCTTAACGGGCGAGCATAAGTGCCTTGGGAGAAGTCCGAATGGGCTTTCCTCAGCAGTGTGTTTGTGGGTTACGTCCCCATTCACAGTGTAAAGTCTCACCGAGTAAGGCTGCTTGCACACTGGGAGTGAACCCTTCCCTGAGTTCTGTGCACACTGAGGCTTTGAGGCTTTGCCAAGTCGGTTAGACTGACAGTGGCAGCGATTCCTTTAAGGAGTAGAACTGTGCGAATTCTTTTCTCTCCTGTTTGTCTCAGTTCCATAGGTCATATACTTCGATGTGACGCTTGAGTCTCTGACATATTTTCTCTTCATCCTTTAACCTCTATTTTCCCACCCCCTCCCATTACAGACAAACCATTTGCATTGCTACTATTAACTTGGACGAAATCCGTATATAAAGGATGGAGTTTTGCAAGGATGTATAAATTTCTCTGGACTGTCTTACAGAACAGGGATAAAGGGGTGAAAGTTGGCTTTCTTGCCGGTAGCTTGTTGAACATTCTCATTTCAGGTCCTGTTCTTTACGAACCTTTTAAAGGAAAAGTAGGTGTAAGAGTGAGGATTAGAAAGAATTCTTTAAATAGTGCCTGCTTAGCAATGCACGAAAAAAAAAAAAAAAAAAAAAAAAAAAGAGGGAACTTTTCAAATCATTTCAAATCAGCTGCAGGGAAGACTTAACATGACAGACCAGCACAGTTGAACTTTAAAAATAGTGAAAGATTTGCATTGGCGTCATTGTCTTAATGAACTTAAACGTGAGGTGTCACAAAACAAATGCTGTTTAGAATTAGGGTATGAACAGGGCTGGAGGCTTAAATCACTGGTAGAGCATTTGCTGACCTCCAGTATGCCCCTCTACACCCAGCACTGGGAAAAAAAAAAAAAAAAAAAAAAAAAAAACTAAAGCAAGTACGAGTTCAGGAAAGAGTTGCATATGTGAAATAGTGTGACATTTTGCTAGTACTTTGCTTTTGTAGTAGCAATTTCACTTGAACACACCTCTGTGATCACTGGAAAAACCATAACTTTGTATAAATGATGATAATAAAACAAAATAGTGTAAAACTAGTGACACTGTCCTCAGTAACTTGAGTAATTGAACATCTAATGAATACCTAAGAACCATTGTTAATGTTAGCAAAACAGCCCCTAAAATAACATCTATACACTTGGACTGTGATGAGCAGATATTTCAAAATCTTTAGTATCTTAGTTTTTTTGTCTTTTGTTTCTTCTAAAAGGAAAAATATAACTATATATATGTATGTATGTGTATATATATGTATATAAATAAATGCACAAAGAAGCTTCTAGTAGAGTTGTTTTCTTTTATCCCACACTAAGTTAAAGTTAAGGGAATATTATGGAATGAATTCTTTGTATCTGTCTTCTTAGATGTCTGCTTTTGGAGTAGTAAAGTGTGAATTATAATCTATTATTCCACCAAAAAGTTGCTCAGGATTACTTGTACAGTAAAGAAGCCAATGGGATTCATGCCCTTTCCCCTTTGTCCCACTGCAGAGTTGATGGCTTAGTACTTTTGCAGCTGTTATTGGAATCTAAATGAAGGCTTACCCAGTTCATTGTAATGTCTATGCGTTTTAAAAACATATTTTAATTCTGTACATCATGTAGTTAGTAGAACTGTTTATATACTTGGTTCACAGAGAAAGGATTCATGATAACGATGAAGCACTAGTAGAAGAAAGTTTTTAGAATTGCCCAAGAAACTATGTGTACATGTCTTTTGCCTTCCATTTATTTCTTTGCTTAAACAAGTAACTGAGGAGTTCTTAAAAAGCACATATGTAAATAAATATTCTCCTGCTATTTTGAGCCCTAATTCAGAATCATTTAATGTGTATTTTTTTCAAGCATTGCAGCTTATCTCATTGTTTTTTAATTGTACTTGGTGTTGCTTTAGTTCTAAGTATGTGTATTTACGTTTAAGTAAATAGAAGCACAGTCTTATTTGTGTCTGTAATCCATGACATTTACATAAACAGTTGACTCATAGTGTCCCTCACCCTAATGTCTAGCTGTAATAACTCTGCACTGTGATCTGAGTGTTTAAAACAGTACTAAAGGCACTGAGAGTCCGTTCCCTTTTTTGACTCTGTGAGCCAGTTCCAAAGTTATCACTTCTTTCAACCATCCCATTCTACGTATGACTCTATAACAAACAGGTGACAATGCTTTCTTAATTCATGGAGAAATTAGTATCACAGAAAAGTAGCAGCCCTAACATGCTCTCCACGGTGTCATTGGGCTTTTCTTTACATATAATTTAGGTTTTGTTTCCATCTTAGGGGGAACATTTTTCTTCTCTGTTTTTTTGGTTAGTTAACCTTTGCACTTGTACTCTTTATTCAATCACTTATAGTCTTTGAGAGCTTTTGCCATCATACATTCATTCTTTGGGTATGTTTACTTTCTCACCCTCTTCATCTTTCCTCTACTGTCTGTAATGGTGGTCTTATGTTTGACCTTAAAGTATCTTTCCTTTCTTGGGGATTCACCTGGAATTGCACTTCTTTCCTCCCTGCCACTCTTTCTTTCTCTCTCCTTCCTTCTCCCCAACCCCTTGTGTTTGGGTGCTAGGTGTGAACACTATATCAGGTCTCACTTTGCCTTTTTATTTTTTAATATCTTATAGTGTCATTGATTTCAGTTATATTTGAATGAAACTAGTGTGGGTAAAGTCATTCAGTAACGATGAACATAATAATAGTTACTGAAGTTCTGTTTTTTTTAAACTTTTTTACTGAAGTGCTGTGTTTTTTTAAATGCCTTATATGAGTTATATCATTTGATTTTCACAACTCATGAAAGTAGAAAATAGTATGAGGTAATGTACAGTTAAGCTTTAAATGCAATTGTCCCATTTCAAATCCTAGTTGGTTCTGTTCTACAAGCTCTGGGACCTTATGTGAATTATTTGACATCTCTGCTGTAGTTGCTTCACCTAGAAGTTGGGAAGAATGCCTGTGTAATTATCTCAAGAAGAAATTGAAACAAACTGATACGGTAATTGATCTCAGACCATAGATTTTTATAATGATTTAGGTCATAGGTCACATTCTATCAACCATTGCTCTGTTTTCAGTGTTGTTGGTTGCCCAGTTGATAAGACAGTGGCTTTGTAAAATAAATTCTTATTTTCTCTTACCTTCCTATTTAATTTGGTACTATTTTTCTCCTTATATTCAATAAAGCTCTCTTCTCTATATCACTTGGACTTCACAATCTTGGTGGCAACTAGATTTTTTTCATTATTCTTCTTTGTAGCTGTTGTCAGATTTAACACATTTTCTTTTTTTCCTGTTTTTTTTTTTTTCTGTCCTCTCTTCCTCTAGGACCAAAATTTAATTCTTACATTATAAATAAGTACATTTACTTCCCCCGCTGCTTCCTTGTGGCTCATCTTGTGCACAAACCAGGATATTCATTCCTTTTTTTTTTTTTTTTTAATAGAAGGAGAGCTAATGGCTCAGCATGCTGTACAAGTCCCTGTACAGGTTGGCTTTATTTTTAGCTATTTTTTTCTTCTGTGGTCCTTCTTTTCCAGATAACATTTTACAGTTTTATAAAACTATTTACATCTCCTTGGTTTTATTGTTGTTCTGTTTGTTGAAATGTCCTCACTTTTTAACCTCTTTGTGGGAATACTTTTATCTGTGCTTCATTAGTCATGACTTGTTATGAAAATTAATTTAGTGATACAAACATTGGAAACACTTGACACCTAGAGAGAGCTCTTTATAAGCAGCATCTATTTTAAGATGCTGTTTTATATTTTAATCTTAAAGCCAAGGTGTGTATGTAAAGTATGTGTATTCTACTACTGTAATGCTATTATTGAATTGAGAGTACACTTTTAGTGTTGATGGCCTTGTAAAACTGAGGAAACGGCTTTGTAGCTATGCTCTCACTGTTTGGATTTGCCTGTCTCTGCAGTCTGCACTTTATTTAATTTAAATGATACTATTTTGCAACTTACTCTTTTGCTCTTTAGCTCTTTGACCTGAAGGGTCATTGTTCATTGTTCCTGAAGTCTGCAAATGCCTCATCTAGCACACACTCCATGTTAGTCAATGATGAGAGGAAGAGTAAATGACTTGACTCATTTCTTGGGCCATCTTAGGAACTTCATGTAGACCAACTCTGATTTTATGTTTCTTGCTACTAGGAATTAATTTGACCTCTTTTAACCCTCAACTGTGAAATCATTGGATTGCATTTTGGTGTTCTTTAAGTCTTTGCTTAGTATAGCATGATTAATATTTATAAATGTATTCAGTAGTTCCCAAGATTAAAATTTAAATACAAATGGAGATTCTGCTTTTATTTTGCAAGAACGTTTGCTGAAGATGACCTTAGAGGAGAGACGTAAAGAATACATAAGAGACTATGTTCCTTTGAGCACCATTCTATCATGGAAGGAGGAGATGAAGATCAAGGGCCAAAATGATGGTAAGTTTCTCAGGACGGTTTTTAGGCAGATACTGTCCTATATGTAACTTGTAAGACAGTTGTTGACAGAAATGAATAACTGATATCCACGAGTGAGGTATTTTTTAAATTATTACCTTGCCTTTTGAAATTATTGCTTGGTTGCTTTTAGTTATTATCATATCTTTCTTAAGCTTTGGAATGCATAATAACATAGTTTGTGTTCTGAAATACACCACAATTACAGTACAGTGTTTTTTTTTTTAATAGGAAATTTTTTATTCTTTAAAAATTATTCTGCACCAGATCTTAAGAGTCAATACTATAGAAATTCATTCATTGGTGTGGCATTTTGAGCTTACATTAGTTTTATTTCTATTGGATTTTATTCAGCTTAAGAGTTGTGTATGGTTAAGTGAGTATGTTGCAATATAGAAAAACAATAACACTTCAGATAATTTTCAAGAATATATGTTTTATATGATATGATATGTCTACATGTAAACACACTTGACAAAATTTACTTAGTCTGGGTTGATGAACATCTGGATTGTATTAGACTTTAAGCAAAATTTTTAAGCATTAAAAGGGTCCATGAAAATTGTTTATTCAGTATCAAGTGCTCAGCCTGAAATATACACACAGGCAACACTAAATGGAATCAACAAGTTGTATTTATAAGTTTATGCATAGTATTTATATGTATATATAAAATCTCCAAAGAAAAAGAGGCTATTCATTTGGTGAAGAGATGGAAGGCATTGAAGAGGGAAGAAAGGCAAGGAATTAATGTAATTATATTTTAATAAATATTTTAAAGTTTCTGAATAGGAAATCATACATTTAACAGGCACTTGATACACTTATCTCAGAACTAATAGTCACTGGTGTTAATCTTGATGTGAAGTTTAGATGACCAGCATGCTTCAGAGCAAAGAAATTTCCTTAATGAAGTGGACTTGAACAATTCATTTTGCAGGTTGTGTCCTTAGCTTGACAGCATACAGGGTACAGAGTACCTTGGGATCAGAAAATGAAAACCAAGCATGGAATTCTGGAGAAAACCTATGGAGAAACACAGCTGATTTAAGCTTTGGTATTTGTAGAAGGAGCAGTTGGGATTGAGCTTGGACAACTTTCTTTCTTGAAAGGAGGAACAGGTGTGCTGACAGGAGTGAATGGGAGGCCAGAGCATTGCTACAAGTTTGACAGCTTGGATACTTAGTGGCGTCAAGACTAGTTTAGGCAGTGTAGCCAGACACTATTAAAAAAAAAAAAAAAAACAAACAACTGCAATAACAAAAGCAAATCTTGTCAGGCTGAGGGTGGAAAGATGTTTTAATGGGTAGGTGGGGCAGTGACTTCACCTCAAGGTTTAGTGGTGCCCTAGAATAGGCTGATGAGGATGTTCATGACTGAGCTGCTTGCCCAAGTAAGTGTCTCATTAAGATACTGAAAGAAGCTAGTACTGTGTAATGCAAGAGCACAGGGCCAGAAATCAGGAAAACAGGGTTTTCTACCTCCTCCCTCATCTGGGTCTCAGTTGGTTCTTCTTTTGATTTTAAGCAAAGTGGTATTGAATAATTAGCTCCATGCATAGCAAATGTCCCCCATTGTCTTGCTTCTTCCTTTCATCTGATTACCTTCTGGGACACTGTAGTAGCTGGACACTTCTCTAAGGATATGGAATTCATGTTCCTTTTAGCAAATTTGATATCTTGGGATAGAGTTAACTCTACTGCTGCTGGAGCAGTTCAGAGAGCAGAAGCTGATACTCAGGCTGCTATGTAGTGTTAGAACAGCAATGTTTAGGAACTTGGGTTTCTTGATGGTTACATTGTTTTCTTTATTTAATTTAAATTTTAACATTTATTTAGTTATTTTGAGAGAGAGAGTGTGTGTGTATGTATGTATGTGCATGCATGCATGTGTATAGTATGAGTGTGTGTGGGAGTGAGCTACGTTAGTACCTTATCCCACATGTCCAGGTCAGTGGATGTCTTGTAAGAGTCATGTTCCCATTTCCACTGTGTGCTTTGGGGATATAGTTTAGATGGTCAGGCTTGGTGGCAAGAATTTTATCTGTTGAGCCATATCATTGGCCTTGACTGTTTCTGTTTAAAGATTCAGCCAACAAGTAACCATATGTGGTAGAATTTTGTTTTTATAATTCACAGTAATTTGGTGTGTTCAGGAATACCACATGCTAAAATGTCTGCCAAATTAGAAAATATACACTGAATAATTCCTGACATGTTCTTCTCTTACATTGTACTGAGTATTTAATCCTATGTCTCAAATCCTGTGTCTTAAATAAGAGCTATAGTTTATAAGTGATTCACAATTATTTTATGTGCTACTTCCTGTTATGCTATTTTGAACCTGAAGGCATCCCCATGCGGATTCCGGTGATGTGATCTAAATTGCATTTCTATTAAACAATGTTTATTCTTTCTATGTGACATTTGAACTGTTAATTTGCCCCTGTCTGTTGTGACCTGGAAACTGGTGGCTCTTTGTCCCTGGAATGTAACAATTCATTATATAAGTGATGTTTGCTAATTTCTTCAGTTGTGCACACTTTATGTATTCTTCATTTGCATTTTCTTCTTGTCATCTCTTTTAGTACTAAGTTATAATAAAATACTTGTCAAGACAGTTTTAGTACTTTAAAAGATGTTTAGTTAATTGGTGAATAGGATCACAATTCATTATATACATGCATGAAATGTCATTGTAAAATTTATTTTGTATAATTAGACACATTGGGAAGTTGCACATATGAACTCATAGTGATTGTATCAGCATGCATAAAACCTGAGCAAGCAATCTCCAGCCAGATAAAATCCCAGTGTGGAGGTGGGCATGAATCCCCTAGCTGAGGAGCTATTGCCTTTTTATGGCTGCTGAGATAGTTTTTTGTTTCTTTTTAAATGTTGTAATCCCTGGCATGTTGACCACACTCCAAGGCAGGCCCCACACCCACTAGTAGGTGGCTAGTGCAAACTGGACTTGATGGTTTTAAAAAAGAGAGAAGGAAAATTGGAGTTGGGTGAGCAGGGAGGTTAACTAAGGAGGAGTTGGGGGAGGGGACCAGCATGATCAAACTATGTTGTATGGAAGTTTCAAAGAATTAGTAAAAACATTTTTTAAAACAATAAATGTGTATAACTAATATATGCTAATAAACAATGGGGATAACCCAGGCTTTTGTTCTTACCAGAAAACTATCTAGTCTATGGGTCATTATTTTTAATGTTTGAAGCGCAACTGAGGAATAAAAATAATGTCTTGTCTTTATAATTATTTTATTCAAATATCAAATATCTTTGAAAATGGTTTTGTTAGAAGAAAATTTTGTATTTCATATATATTGTTAGATTCAAATCTGATAATAGGGGTCATTTAGAAAACATTGAATTCTAAAATTTTGAATTATGCAATCTATAAGTATGAACTACTCAAACACTTTTTAAGGTAATTGTAAATGTTTTGACATGTATAAGTTGGTTAAAGAGTAGAGGCACATTTATAATTTTTACCTTTCATATTAAAATTAATATGATAGCATAAAATTTCAGTATTATCAATTCTCTTTTCATTTGAACTATTTTCTACTCTTAAAAATGATTTCTGTGAGAAGTGATGGCCCATCAGATGTGGTACTGCTTGTCTGTAATTCCAGTATCCAAACTACTTGGGAGACTGAAGCAGGCATTTTTTTTTTTAAAATTAGAGATTTGTATGGACAACAATGTGATGTCTTTTTTCTTAAAAAAAAAATCTTAATGAGAAAAAAAAATTATGCCCTAACTACTGAGCATTTTTGTCACTTTACTTGGAGATTTGAGTGGGATTTAAACTCCTGGCCAGTGAATGACTTGTGTTCCAAGCTAAAAAGTAATGTTTAGGAATCATTAAAATGTATCTTTTTCATTTGGACATGGTTTTGTATTTCATTTTTGATCACACATTCTCTTGTAATTTGCATATGAATGTAACATATTTAGTTTTATATCCTCTCCCCACTACTCTAACTCCTGGGACCATCCCTGTCTTTAGACTTCAGATCTTCTTTTATTAAAAGTGTATTTTAATTTCAATATTAGTATATAACCTAGTGCTTGTATTTTAGTAAGTTTATAATAACCACTTTTGGATGACAGTATGCTTATTATAAGGATTGAGGAAATTAAAATGTAAATGCTTATTCTGTAGAACAGTATATAGAGAAGGATGCAGGTAAGAGTTTTGTATGACATGCAGTACTTGTTTTCTGTTTGTCCACTTGTCCCCTTACATTTAAAATATTTTTTTCTCACATAATATACCCTGATTATGATTTCCTATCCCTCCACTTCTCCCAGTTCCTCCCTCCACCTCCCCCAAGCTGGATCCACTCCTTCTCTGTCTCTCATCAGAAAATAAGCAGGCTTTAAGGGATAATAATAATAAAGGGATAATAATAAAGAACAACAACTCAGTCAGTCTTTGAGTTCTTATGAACTTTGATCACGTGGTACAGAGGGCCTTGTTTTCTTGGTGTCCTCCATCCCCTCAGGCTCTTACACTCTTTCTGTTACAATAAAAAGCAACATAGAATAAAAATATTCCTAATGGCATTTTGCTTTGCTCATGATAGCACCTTGCTCAGCCATCATCAGAGAAGCTTCTTCCTGCAGCAGATCAGAATAAATACAGAGACCCAAAGCCAGACATTATGTAAAGAACACTCAACCCAAAACAATGTTTCCATCAAATCCTTCCCTTCAGAACTCAAGGAACCCTGAGAAAGAGGAGACAGAATGAGTTTTGTTTTTACTGAATACCTGTAAAAAGAGAAGTTGGGGCTGGAGTGGTGGTAGAGATGGTTGGGCGGATAAAGTGCTTGCTATGCCAAGTGTGAGGAGACTGAAAACTTTGTATCTCTAGAACCCACCCAAAAGCGCAGTAGGAGTCATGACTTGCTGTAGTCCCAGCATTTGGAAGTCAGGCAAAGGGGATGTATAGGGCAAACTGGC